GAGAAAGAATGTGAGAGTTAAAGAGAGAGAGAGAGAGAGAGAGAGAGAGAGAGAGAGAGAGAGAGAGAGAGAGAGAGAGAGAGCTCGTACAACACACTTATTTTTACAGTCTATGGAACTCATTCACTTCTGGTCCTGCAGTTGGTAAAGGTTGGGAGAGCTCCTCTAGTGGGTTTAGTGCCCGAATGATTTGATCAGTTGCTCAACACTCAGTGAAGCGTCGCGCTGTAGAGGAGACAGAAACGCTGACAGACGTGCAGCAAGAGCACACGAGGAGCAGGTTGCCTAAACATTATCTCAATAATTAATTAATAGGCAATTTGAATAAATCATCACAGTTAGATCTGTTCAAACTATAGCACCTTTACAAGACAGTCTCATAAGACTCGACCACACTATCTATTATGTGGTGTTTATGTTTGCTGTATTTTCTCCTAAAGCACTACTTCACTTTGTGACTTTTCCTTTGAAATAAAACAGCATATTGTTATTTCTGTAGCTTGTCTATTACCAAAGCGTTTATCAGTGATACAGAACAAAAGATAAATGTGATAAAGTCAGTCTGGAGCCCCGTCTGACACAGAGTCAGTAAGTTAGGATTTACTGAGTATTCTCAACTTTCAACTGTTTTAATTCCATGCTTCCCATCTAGTTCTGAAATTAAATAAAGTAAGCGTTAGTGGCAGGTGAGCCAGAGTAAGCACACGTACACACATGTATAAAATGTACATATATCCGAGCCACTCAAACCTCACAATTATAAAGCTAAACAATCAAAAAATGAAAGCAAATATATGATTCATATATAAAATAGGCCTTGAACATAAGCTTTACATATATAACGAGATGTCAGGATAAACATTAAGATGCTAGTGCTACTGTGAGGCCTTTTGTTTCCCCCTCATTGTTACGTAAATAGCTTAGTGATGAAGAGGTCAACTAGAGCGTGCGTTAAAAGTAACCCTCGTCTTCATTGCACAGAGCCTACAGTCAGCGTTAACATACAGAGGTGCTCCACATTCATTCATACAAACAACCTTTTTAAATTCCAAGAGGGATTACTCGTCCTAATGAGCTGCTGGGACACTTCCTATTGTTGGAGCAGAGACGAGGGAGGTCAAAGGTCATTTAGGCTACTTAAACTTTCATCAGTTTAAAGTCAGACTGCAGGAGTGTGTGTGTGTGTGTGTGCTAAAGGTGTGTCTCTGGAGGTATGATCCATGAAGACAACACAATAACAGTCAGATGTGCAGGCACAGCGAGCATGATGTCATATTTTGGCCAATTATTTTGAGTCGCTGCACACTTAAACATGTTTTTTTTAAAGCCATTAACTAAATAATATAACTGTACTTTGATGAAACACATCAATGCTGGTGTTAATATTGATATTTCTTTCCAAAATTATAAAAATTGCAATTTCATGGTTGAAGATGGCTCAAAATGCCATCTGATGTTTTAAAATCAGTCCTAATCTTGCAAGGCCATATCCTGAGAGAGTAATTTACATCATGAACTAGAAGAATGTTAAAGTCCTCTAATCAGACCCTCCTCTTCACCCCTCACACTGTGGTTTTAGTTCATGAAAGCTGCCTCTAAACGTCTTATTCAGCGTTCGGTTGAACGTAGCTCCACCTTCTCGTGTCACTTCAGGTTGCAAAAACAAAAACAAGATGGCGACGGCCAAAATGCCGAACTCGACGCTTCAAAACCACGACAGACCAATGGGTGACGTCACTGTGACTACGTCCACTTCTTATGCACAATCTATGGGAATAACAGAGGATGAATGCCCAGTGAGCACCAGAGCAGACATGGTTAGAGTACAGTACCGTGATCATATGTACAAAGCCCTCACCAAGAACCCATCATCACCAATTCATTAATAACCAGCCTCTTTCCAACAGGCCACGCTGCTGTGGCTCTAACAGGCGCGTCCTCCTTCCTCTCCAGCTGGCTGAGTGACGCTGGAGCTGGACATCTGGCCTCTGCGGTCTGGCTGCCTTTGCTTCCCAGGGCGTCTTAATGCCAAATGGGCTTTAACCAATGACCCACTTTTGTTTTCCTTTTTTCCCCGTCTGACAAGTCAAGACAGGGTTGTTGCCCAACGAGTCGGCCATAAACTATGCTCAGAAACACACGAGCATCCTTATTAAAACACGGCTCTGTCTAATCTGCCATTCCAGCAAAAATCTAGTGTTTGGAGCGAAGACATTGACCTCGTGAGTGGCAGCTTCATATCACTGCCATAGTATCATCGACCGCTGCGCGTTCACGAGCTGAGAACCACATTTAATCTACAGAGCAACAAGCTCGCTGCCAAATACCAGAGAAGAGTGCACCAAGTGAGACTTACACTCCGTGTCTGAGAGCGTGTTCAACGCAGAGTTACATATCTGTACACACAGCCACAATTGGCCGAAACTGGAAGCTTCCAAAAGTTTAAAAAATGAATCCCGGTGAGCGATGATAAAATTAGACAAGGCGAACAGAAGCACAAGAAGTCACAATAGTCATCTTTCTCTCAGATTAAGCTAACATCGTGGCCTGTGCCAGGGCCATCTGTGTGAGGCCAGCGGCCTGGCACAGACACGGGGATGTGGGGGAGATGAGAATGGGAGGAAAGGGGAAGAGGATTGAGTGAGATAGAAACAGAGAGAGAGAATAAACACGGAACCAGATTACAATTTGTAGGAGGAAAGCCACGTGACCGCTGGAAGAAGGGAAAACAGTGGAAAATCACAGAGTCCCGTCTCCTTCTCTATGTCCTCCACAGAGAGCTGCTCTGTAAAGACATGCAACACTGAAGAGCAAACATGCATAACACAAGCATCTTTATGTTTTAAATAACTTTGGGTGCAATCCTTAAAACTAGTTGATACTTGCACTGTGCTGTTGGAGATGACCGAGGTGATGTGGTGTGATTGTGGGTTCTCGGTTTAGACCACCAGTCTTTAAAGTGACTCAAGCATGCTGGGAAATCACACAGGGGCCACGAACTCTACATCTCATTCACTACCTGCTCAGATTTAGGATATAACTCTACATTTTATTTGAATCTGTCAGTTATCTTCTACATTAATTGTTCGATTAACAAAACACCAAAGGGTGACAAATACCCATTAAAATGTCTTAAAAGTGCAATATATGGTATTTAGAGCGATAATATATTATAGAAAACAACTATTGTCTATTCAAAGACAAAGACCGAGCAGAGAATGATGTCGCTCTCCCCCGTGTGTGATTAATCCGAGCTTCTCCGTGCTTTATGGACACAACGGGCTGGCTGTACACGCTTTTAGTGCATGTCCGTGCATGTGATGTCATGGCCGCCGCTCTGTACTGGTCCCACGCGGCGGTAACGCCGTCCCGACCGTCAGTGTCGTCGCTCAAGCTCAGTGCCCACCCTCCGGCTCTCCCTCAGGTAAACACCGTTAGCGCTGTCAGCACTTTTGCCACAGTGCTAGCTCCGTTAGCATCGTTAGCTGTGACCCACCGGCTCAGCCGTCGCCATGTTGAGAGCCATTGAGAGGCAATAGAATGCTCCCAATCTTACATGTCGCACCTTTAGAGTCGTTAGGCGACATCATTAAAGGTCTCGTTTTGTCCAAAATCCAAAGAGAATCAATTTACTGTAACGTAAGGGACAAGGAAAGGGAAAGCAACAAATGAATCAGCAGATTACTCCGATTACTCAGATGAATCACATCGACCGGGTCAGCGTAGCATTTTGTTTATCCAACCGTTTTAATGGCTCAAAGCTATAACACATAAAAGAGCAAATAAGATGAGAACATGCTTGTGAGGAAAGGAGCATTTTTATTGTGATTAACATCCGTCACTGGCTGTCCACTAGAGGGAGCGTTGATGTGTCACCAGGGGAGAATAAAACACAGATAATTGCTTCCTGTTCCACATGTCATCATCCGCTGAGCCCAATGCAGCGATGTCAAGATGAGGTCTGCGTGACATCGTGTCTCTCGGCTCTACCTCATCTCCACTCACTCCTATCCAACGTTATCTTCAGAGGTTATTTCCAGTGATGAGGAGCGCCACTGTCTCCTGATACTAATCGCACAAAACAGGTTTAATTTGATGCATTTTTTGTTGGTCGCTCAGGTTGCTGACGCAGCGTGTTTTTCAGAACCGTACAGGAATTAGTATTCACCGGGGCCACGGGGCCGCCACACTGCTCCCAGCGGCTTCCTGTCCGTCTGCCTCCTGTTGCACAGAGGGAGAGAGCGACACACACACACACACACACACACACACACACACACACACACACCCTAATAACCGTGTCCACTGACATTGCATCAGTTGGGCAAATGACTATAGCAAAAAAAGAAATCAAGGATGGTTGAATATAGACGGTTGAAAGTCTTAACTATTTTAATCTGAACGTTGAAAGAAGAACTAATCACGGTAGAAGTTATCTTTCTTTGAGTGGGGCCAGTCATGCTTACAGTAGTCCCCCCTTAAGCCTCCTGGGAGACAGAGGGGGAGGTAATCCCTGCTGCAGTCTCAAAAGGACAGAAATAATTAGTTAATACCTCCGCACAGTCTAAGCTTTCCTCCGTCCGTGTAACGCAAGACGAGGTACTCTCCTCTTGTGCATCTGCAAAAAACCTGCTGATCACCATTAGTGGTGCTATACGCGTCTCCACGTCAGCAGATAACGTCAATCACTTTCCCCGTGTAAACCATTTAAACATTTTGTGGGAACCCATTTGCAACTTGGCTGACTCCCCCCGTGAGGCGGGTTGACAGCTCCCTGAAGACATCACCATTACACCAACCATCATGTGTGAACCTTCACCCACCCAGAGGGGGCTTCATGTGAGGGTCAGGCATTAAGGGTCTCCCTCGCCCATTCGCAAGAGTAAGAATGAGGGAAAAGGGGTGTTGTAAGTGGCTGCTGAATATGCGTTGTCTATACTTAACTGACCCTGCTTGGGTGTCACAGAGATAGATTGTAAATCACGGTTTAAGTACTCTACCTGCAGCTCACACCAGGCCACCTCGACCCAGGTCTCAGTGTCCAGGCCCTTGTAGACCGTCTTGAAGGACCCTCTCCCCAGCTCTATGTCAAACTTGAGGAACCTTCCTCCTGGTGATGTGGAGACCGCTTTCATCTCCGCCTCCTCCTCGTTCTCCTCACTGGACGCCTTGATGGCAGTTTTGCCGCCGCCATCGCTGCACGTGAGATGATTCAGCGCATCATCTCCGCTTTTATCCTTCTCCTCGTCGGCACTGGCGCCCTCCGTGGCGCTGTCCTTCTGCCCACCTTGGCTTTCGGTGCTGGAGCCTTCCTGTATCCCACAGCTGGTCCCCCGCGTCCTGTCCACTATTGTCCGCAGGTGTATGTTTAGGATCTTGTTCCTGTTATCGTACTCGGGCGCCGCTTCGAAGGCCTGCTCGTCCGTCTCAGAGAACCACAGGCTCCTCCTGATGAACCTCTGGTGCACGTTCCTCTGGTAGCTGCAGGATGGGTACGCACTGGCCTTGTGCATGTTCGTGGGGAGATCACACTGAGAGTCGGGCACGGATGGACGTTTCAGTTCATGGTGGGCCTCGGAGTTTGAGTGAGCCTCCGGCTCCATGCTGATTTTTAAACTAAAAGTTCAGTCACTTTGGTTTCCAGGTCATTCGTGCCATGGCGAGACTTCTCCCCCAAACGTGATTTAGAGGAGAGTACCTGCAGCGTCCACTAGGTGACGCAGTTTGCCTGACGACGGTGGGATGGGTGACAGACGAGATCTCATCCGATATCAGGAGCTGCAGAATGAAACGTTGCCAGTTAGGGAAACAAAACACACAATTCCTGTTGTGTAGGACAACACAGCTGGCTGTTTATTGGCTTAAGGGGAAGTCAGTCATTACAGGAATTTAACACAGCTGATGTCAATAAAAGCTAATAATAGGTAAGCTAGTCTTCAAAAACATTTTATTACACTGAACCAAGAAAGGAGACACGACTTACCTTCTTACCTCTGCTCGAAGAAGGAAAAAAAACGACCAAAAACAACCTAAACTCGTTATCGATACCCGACACGGACAGAACCTGCCAGGTCTAGCGTTGGGGAGAAAAACCCACCGGCAAAAAAAAAGGTGGACTTTAAAAACGCCCTATCTGCATAGTGTCCACATTTTCACGCAAAAAAAGACACGCAAACAAATCCGGGGTGAACTCAGCCTTCGCTAAGGGAACACAGACCCCCATATTGATGAGAAAACCATGTCGAATATATAGTAATTATCTCCTTTAGAGTCCTCGCATCCTCTCTCTTCAGTATCAGATACAGCAGCAGCTCACGATGCCGAGTCTCTGCCGTGACGCTGTGCGCAGCGTGTAGTTTAAAGACCACTTTGAGACACGGGAATTTTCCACTTTCTCTGGCAATTAATTTACGCGGACAAACTGTTATTCGCTCGTGATAGTCTCTGCTCAGAGACGGGGGTTAGAAAGACGGCGAGGCTGCACACAAAATGTGTGTTTCTCATTCAGCTCGCTTTGGTTCCACGCCCCTGGTAACGACTGGGAGGAACCCGTCCAATCACGACGCACGCCGGGGACACCAGTAGCCAGCGCAACTCAAAACTGCTGTGTGACACATATCTCTCACATGCAAAGACCAACAAAGACTGTATGCATGTGAATGATTCAATACATATAAAAAGATAAAAGATAAATTCTTGCAAAAGCCTGTTATTGTCTGTAAAAAAAAATATTCCACGCCCAACTCACCCAATCACGTGTCTCTGCGTCTCAGTCAGAGCTCAACAGTCTAATGTGCAACACAGGTAATCTGGGAGAAAATAACAATTAGTGTTGTGGCACATAATAAAATAACTGCAGTCTGCACGTGCGTCTGCTACTCTGTTAGCAGGCTTGCAGGCCCCCCCCGGGGCTCTTTGCAGCTCGATGTCTCAGAGCTGCAGCCTGCAGCTGAGGTGCAGCGCCACACTCATGGGAAAAATGATGAGCAGCAGAAACAGGGGAAGTGGGACTGAGGTAAGACTTTTGAAACCATTAAAAAAAAAAAAGAGCAAAACAGGTAAACCTTTCAAGATGAGGCTGTTTCTTTATGTGACCTTTTTTAAAATTAGAATAGATTGGTGATACGTTGTGGGTTGCAAAACTTACCACTGCAAGAAAGGAGAGAGGCATGGATGCAATATTTCTGTGCCCACAAAGGGGCTTTTTCTTTCTCGCTTTCATGCAAACAACTGCATCTAAATCCAAACACAGGGAAATCCTACAAGTGATAAACAAGTGTGGACAGAAAGACCTAAAAATGAATGGAATTCAATGCAGCAGTCATGCAGTAGATACTAACGTTGTCAAGCTTACATGGCTGCATTTTTGTTTGGACTTTGTAGTGTTGTTGCATTTTTATGTAAGGTGATCTAAAAACTATCCACCCTCTCTGGTTTCTGCATTTTCACTTCTTCTCATATTACATGTCATCTATTTGTGTGTGTGTGTGTGTGGGGGGGGAGGGCTGTACTTATACAAAATACAAACAAATAAATGAAAGAAAACACAAACAGAGATCTCTACGTCTGTTTCCAGAATGCAGTGTCAGACGATATTCTGGTTCAGTTGACGTCGAAGCATTGTTGGCACCCGAGTGACCTTATAAATAATGAATACACTCCTTTGTTTCCACTTCACCGGCCAGCATGCTCACACACACACACACACGCGCGATCACATGGTTTTACTTTTACACAGTCATCCTACACCGCGTGCCACCACAGGGAGGGTTTGCTGTGTTTTATGTGGCGATTGAAGTTGCCATTTGACAAGTAATTACAATATAGTTCAGATGCAGTTTTTACAGGGCAGGGAAATGGGCTTCATCTCCATTGCCACTGTGTTCATAGGGCCATTTCATTTCAGATTGATGTGTGAGTGTGTGTTTGAGGAAGAGAGAGAGAGAGAGACCCTGGCAGCATACTTCCCTTTGACTGTCAGAGCTCAGCCAACAGATGCAGAACGTAATACCCTTACGCTCAATAAAATGAGGCAATTGGTCCCATTTACAATGTGTCTTCCACCAGCGTGAGTCAGTAAGAATGCATCCATTGGTCGTTGTGTGGAGTGAAGATCTTATATGCAGACCTTCCACAGGCTTTTAATATCGGTGCCTGTGTTCTGCCGAAACCTGAGACCAATCAGATTCTGAGTCAGACGTCAGCACATTCCTGAGCATGTCCTTTTGTTTTTTTTTTGCTAATCAGTATAGCTTTTACACTGCAACTTTCTCTGGAAGGAGAAGGTGTTTCAGTCTCTGGGCCGCGCTCTGACACTGCCATGTTGTCCTTGCACTGTGTAAGGCTTTAAACCTAAAAGCCCAACAGAGAATCATGGAAATTAGATTTACAGTTGGGTCGATCCTCATCTGGAGGAGGGCCAGAGTATGATGTGAGAGAGAGAGGGGGGGGCTGCTGATACGACGTGATGGATGGAAGGCAAAGAAGTGCTGATGTATAAGAAAAAGGATGAAAAAACAAAATAAAGGAAAGGAAACACACCCGTGCAGTTACGTATGCAAGCGGCAAGTTCAATCAACTAAATAGTGACTGCAAGGTCTCCCCATGTCTAGAGTGGTGTCTTGCATTGTTGCTGCAATAGAGAGCAGAGCGGTACAAAGCGATAGTCATGACATGCGCTCAGAGTAACTGACATGCAGGTATTCAGCTTAGCGGTAATCAGTTCATGCTGAGGATGTGGGAAAAGTTTAGGATTAGACGTGCGAGTTGAATGAGTTCATTTCTTTTGCTTGGACATGAGCCAAAACTTGAGTTGGCTTTTGAATGCACAATAATAAAATAAATTCAGATTTAAATTCAATCTCAGGGATTTAGAAATCTAAATTTCAAAGCAGGTAACCCTACTGCAGTGCAACTATGAGGCCGACATAAAGATAGTTATTTATAATGGGAGGCAATTTTATATTCACTCGTGTGAGAAAGTGCTCTGGATGTAAAGAAGCTGTTTTATTTGTTTTCAAAACACTGCACGAATTGCCACCAGATTAAATCTCCTTCCAGATCTCTCCCTGAATTACCTCCAGGCCCTTTAGTTTTCAACCCAATTACTCCTTTCCATTCCACTGCTCAGCTGACATCCAACAGTGATCACGCATTTTCAATTTCCTCCCTCGACTGGAGAACAGTTGACTATATCCACTCCGACAGGGGTTCCCAAGTAGTAGCCCTTCATCATGGGACACGTGTCATGTTCCAAATATGGATCATGAAAGTGGATCTAATGTAGATTGCTCTGGTCAATGCTTACTGTTATTTGGAGTGGCAGAAGTTGTTCGTTTCAACCATTTATGAATTACTTTCAGCTGTTTCTCCATATTCTTAACTATTAGTTTCATCAATTTATTCATTACTTTTAGCTCTGCTCACTTGCTAACTAAATATCTTTTACACACTCTTAATTGCAACATGCTAATGTATACAACTGACTCAGAGTGATGGGCATCTAACTGGTACGTTCACTAAAGATCAGCATCACTAAATTGTAATTTGGCTCTTTATTTTCCTTTTTTAACAAGGTTATGTAGCTATATCTTTTCATCAAATCATAATTTCTGTTGATTTTAGTTGAGTTGATTTGTTGAACTCCAAGTCTAAATGCCCAAATGGTTGGGAAGCATGCACTTTTAAAATCCTTAAAATCTGTTTTATTACTCAATCCACAAGGTGAAATGACTATGATTGTCCCTATTTTATCTTGCTGATGCATGTTCTTTGTACTGGGGGCCTATATAATAAGAAGATTATATTCAAACATCATTTTGAAATAAGAAAATATTGCATGTTTCCTAGATATGGTGGTATTTATTCATCAATTCATTCATTTTTTCATCAAGTAATTCAATTATGCTAATAGAACTTTGGTTAACAAATGTCATTTTTAAGAGATATTCTTTAAAACACATTACTTACCCATCTGCTTGACTGTAAGCCACCGTCTCACCCACATACCTTAATATCGGTGACACCTGAACTGATTCTGCAGAGAGTAGGCTGTGTTAAATGTTATTGTATGAACCGATCTGTTATTCCACAGTGGCACATTGAGCTGAGAGTTAAAACAGATTCACAGAACTTGTATCTCTCTCTGTCCTCCCCTCCCTCCCTCCCTCCCCCTCCTCCCCTCCCTCTCTCTCTCTCTCTCTCCGTGGTCTGTCCCCTGAGTCTTTTTCAGACAAGGAATGCAGTGTGTGAATAATTCATCCCCAAAATACATCAGTAAAACCAAGGAGTACAGAGTGAGCGACTTAATGAGTACCTTCATTTAGATTGTGCAAAAATAACAATAGATCTGTAATGTTTCTCAAATGGGAACACTAAAGTCAGTGCAAACATGGGTTGTCTCGGGTGTTTTTCAATTTGAAGTGTAAATCCGAATGAAAGCCTGGATCAGATGCATTCCGCCATATGGATTTTTTGCACGCGCGCATGTAGCATTATAGCCCAGTGTGACATACACCATGGCCTATAGTCTCTTTCTGTTCCTTATCTACTCCTCTGCTTTGATTAGCTGCTATCCCATGTTCTCACCCACACGATATGAGCAGACAGACAGATTAATCCTGACAAAAAGCTCGGACTGACTGAGTAGGTGGCCTTGAGCCTTGGCCCAGTATATGCACAAAACACTAAAACAGAATATAAGCCCCCAAAAAGAGTGCCTCATATTTGCTGGTGAATTTCTGGGAACAATCCAGCCGCTGTGTTTCTAGACTGCCCGTCTCCTGTGCGCTCACAACAAGCATTATCTCACCGCGGTCTGTTGACTCGGGGATAAAGCCCGTGTCGGTGATTGAGAGCAGAATGGCTGACCCCGACACGTCATGACGGTGTGCCATTTGTGGCACAAATCACAGTCACAAGGCCGCTCCATGTTGCATCCCCCCGTTGGACTGCAGGGGGAAACTTGTATTTGAAGAGCTGTTTGAATTCCTTGTTATGAGGTCTATTCCACTGGGTATTATGGCTCGGAGTGAAGAAGAGATTTGGAGAACGCCCACTGAAGGTTTTCGGGATGTGTTCTCGTGAAGCTGTGCCAAATTAAAAGATCTGAAATGATACGATCGCTGCCAGATTAGGAACTTGGCCAGTGACATGTAATCCATGTCCTGCAAAGCAATGGCTTATTAAGAGAATTAAACATGGTCTAGTGGTTAGCACAACATAAAAATCAATGTAATTACTGCGACCAGAGTACCAGCTCTTCTCCATCGACCACACCTTCAGTGGAGACTTCCCCCTCATACATCAACGTAACCATGGCGGCTTGACTGCTGTGAATCTCCGTAACACATTGTAATTCAGCTGTAGCCGTCCCTGTGGCAAATTAGAGGGTGCAGCTTTTTCTCTGTCTCTATCTCCGGAGTGGTGGGAAGACGGCTCGTATACCAGCTCTGCACAGAGAAAGATAAAGGTGCCATCTGGAACCGAAAATAGTTCTTTAGAGTGCAGCCATGGAATAACCGTTTCCGGTTCCACAAAGAACCTTTCAGAGCAAGGTTCTTTAAAAAAAAAAATGTTTAAGGAACTTCAAAGAACAGGAAAAGATGCCTTAAATAGGCATCAAAAAATGGTTCTTTGAGGCACCACTTATGGTTCTTCTCAAAAAATGTTGGCAAATATATACCATCCACTAACTCCAACATGAATTAAGAACCCTTTAATATCCCAAAGAACCATATGACAAACATGTAGAACCATCCAATAGATCAAATGGTTCTCTAGTGGGTGACGGTTCTTCGTGGAACCACACAGCCTTTTAAAGAACCAGCTAAGAACCATCATTCTTCTGTGTGTGTGTGTGCTTTGGCTAATCCTTGACAAACTGTGCTCCCTGCAGCTGCAGGTGGGGGGGTGTTGTGAGAAGAAAAAGGGCTTCAATGTCGAGGAGGAGATTGTCAGCGCTGCTGATTACTTTATGTGCGCGGTTCAGGCCTTGACGAGGCCGAATCTTCATCTTCCTCTTCAGTGCTCAGGTGTGAGTCGGGCGTCGCTGAACAGCAGCTCCAAGCGGGTGTTCGTTCAGCAGCGGTGCTCCGAAGGAAGATGTACTTCCATCATTTTAAAAAGAGAGTGATGTCTTATTCAGCAACTGCCGGCCCAGTAGTTCACGTCTTTCTCTTGATGGAGTAAACACACACACACACACACACACACACACACACACACACACACACACACACTCTCTCAAGCAGATCTCTTGTTACATAACCATCACCCATGCATGACCCAATAGGTTATAGAATTCAACGCCAAAGATTTGAATTTTTTCTTTAATGTGTTTGGTTATCACTTTGCTTATCACTCGATGATCACGAGGGACTCAGTCTAAATCCCTCTCCTCCTTCCTGACCCCCTGCTATATAGAATATGTAATATCGTAAATGCATTCTGTTATGTGCTCAAATATTCAGAACTAATAAAGTGAAAGCATGCATTAACGAAGAAAACTGCTGCTGCAAAAAAGAGCCGTTCTGGGTTTTACTCAGTGCAGTTGTACAGCTCAATCTGTCATCCTGCTTCGGCAGACAGAGATATATGAGCAGGAAATGAGCGATGGCTCACAGCATCACCCGCCTCCAGTACGTCAGACGCACTGCTTTCATTTGATAAAGTCCACAAACACAGAGGGGTTCACAGCAGCTCATGCTCGGAGAACAAGAAAGCGTGCAGACTTGCTCATGTGTTTTAATGGATCTGTTGCCACTGTGTCAGTCTCTCTTCGCCGTACTAATGGCTCTGTTTTCAAAGGTCACTCTTCTGTAATAGCTGCTTGTTGTGCTAATTAGGTCAGAATGATAACCAGATCCCCACCATCAATGCACAGGAAGCAGAAAATGACTGCTTGAGTCGCATCAACACGCTGCCTTGTTGGGCTGTTGGGGGAACGAAACGCAGCACGGCTCTCTGTTTATCTCAGGGCTTTCTTCTTTCAGGCGTTTATCTCGAAGCCGTAAACATCATCATCATCATCCTCCCTCTCCCTCTCTCTCTCTCTCCCTCTCCCTCTGCCCACAGGCCACCCGTCCAGATGCTGGGCCCAGCAGCCCGGCCCCTCTGAACATGAACCACTACGCCAATAAGAAGAGTGCGGCCGAGAGCATGCTGGATGTGGCTCTGCTGATGGCCAACGCTTCCCAGCTAAAGGCTGTGCTGGAGCAGGAGGCAAACTTCAACTTCTACACCCCCATCATCACCCTAATCAGCATGTCCCTGTGTCTGCAGGTCGCGGTCGGGGTCCTGCTCATCTTCATAGGTGAGAGAATAAACAGAGCCTCGAGTCCTTTTGGTAAAAAACAACAACCCAGAGGCGTCTTTCTCTGCTTCACACCTCTCAACCTTCACTCAGCCCTTTGTGTGTCCCTCAGCGAGATTCACCAACGTCAAGTCCACTGACTGCTGACAAACAGCCCATTACCAGTTGGTCTCCAGCCGTAGCCATGGCAACCGGACCTGACACCAGGTCAGAGTTCACAGAGTCTTTTAGTGCTGCTGTCAGCACCCGTGGAGGGAGGGAGGGAGGTTACTGTGTTGTTGTGTGTGCCTGTAAATGTGTCAATAAGTGTCGGCGCTCATGCCTATGCATGTCTATGAGTAAATAGAAAGGAATAAATAAATAAATAAATAAACGAAGCACCAAAGGGTCATCTATTCACAAATCCAGAGATTTTGAGGATGTCTGCATTTAACAGCCACTTCCAGGGGTTGTAAAACAGCTCCATTGAGATGAGAAGATGAGTTAGACTGCAGTACATTTTACTCTGACGACCGAACAGCAGGTCAGTGCACTTTAGCCAGGTCACGCTGGCTCACCTCATCTCCAACAGGATGAGTAAATACGACTGTTGACAGTGGTGGAATGTAAGCACATTTACTCAAGTGCAAATCCTGTCAATAGCCATTTTCGCCATGTTTTTTCGGAATAAAATGTTCTATAAATCAAGCTTTGAATGATATGTGAACAAACCCTTCTGTAGAAACCTCCAGAACAAAGATAGGAATGAAACTGGACCGTTTGGTGAATGTAAGAGCTACTGAAGTGGAGATTTCTGGCTCAGAGTCAGAGAAAAAGTAATTTAGAGAAAACGGCCTTTAAAGAGTCATTTTGTAAAGTGACATAACCATTTTGAAGACACTACAGGTGAACAGGGTAACATATTTAACTAGATATCACCATGAAGCTTCAAAAGGTGACTTACCTTAAGGCCATTACTTTTTGTATAACACGTTTTCTGAAACATTTAAATATGCAAATGAGGCATTATCTATTATTAACTTTTGGGGAATTAAGGAGAAATCTTCAGACGCAAATAGACAAAGAAGTAAAATAAACACCTAAATGTGTGTGTTGGATGTTTTCTTTCCACTAGTCTGAATGAAGACGTGTTATGGGAGCAAAATAGCCCAAGATGAGTGCACGAAAGAAGGATGTTTTTGCTTAGGGTGTCTCGCCTTAATTATTTTCCAGTTTGTAAATTTGCTCTGAGTTCATAAAAAAAGCATAATAGCTGTGATTAATCATCATTATTATTATCATCACTCATCATTGAGAGAAAATGAGATTTTCACATTTTGTTGTTTGCATTGTGAACGATGTCAGAATGAGGGTTCAGCATGTGAGAGTCATCATCACACATTCATGGACGCCTGCCCTCTGACCCCCCCCCTCGTCTCCACCAGAATATCAAATGCTTCTCATCCTCATTACTCTTTTCATTCGTCTTCCTTCATTTTCTTTGACCGTTGTGAACCCCGCTGCTCCTCCCTCTCTCCGGTGGTGCGTGATGTGAGCGGCCTACATACCACCGACCCCCCGACCCCCC